CTGAGAATGAGGAGCATGTGCTCTGGGGTCTGACAGCCCTGGTTCCATTCTGGGCCCCTCTGCTTACTGGCTCTATGTATGATGCCTGAACAGGATGATATACATGGAGGAAGAAGGAGGGGGAATTCTCCCATTTTGTGTATCTACATCTATGTTGCCTAAAACTTTTACAGCAAGAAGGCATGTAGGCGTTTCTTGACTTTTTAAAACTCCCTTCAATAAAAAGTGTTATAATCAAACTAGAGGCCCAGTGCATGAAATTCGTGCATGGGTAGGGTCCCTAGCCTGGCCAGCAATCAGGGCTGATCAGATTCCCTGCCTCCCCACCTCCTCCTTCCCTCGCTCCCCCCGGGGCCTTGCTGCCGCCACTGGTCACCCGCCATGTTCCACACCGCCCCCTGGTGGTCAGCACACGTCATAGAGAGTGATTGAACTCCCGGTCTCCTGGTCAAACTCCCGAGGAGACACTTTGCATATTAGCCTTTTATATATAGAGATGTGTTTTAGTAGCCACATGACCTCAGAGAGCTGAAGGGGCACAGAGAAGGCAGGAACTATGGGCTGTAGGTACAGGCCTATATGGGGGAGAGGCAGGGGTTTTCCATAGGGTTGACTCTTGAACTAGGTCAGTGAAGAATAAGCAGAGGGTCAACACCAAAAAACAAGCAACCCAATTAAAAAATGGGCAAAGGACCTGAGTAAACACTTCTCCAAAGAACATACAGATGGCCAATAGACATATGAAAAAATGCTCAACATCACTAATCACTAGAGAGATGCAAATTAAAACCATCCTATATAATAAAAGCCTAATATGCTAAGTGTCCGGTCGTTCGATTGTCCATTCAACCAATCAAAGCATAACATGCTAATAATATGCTAAGGCCACTCAACCGCTCGCTATGACATGCACTGACCACCAGGGGGCAGATGCTCTGACCAGTAGGTTAGCTTGCTGCTGGGGTCTGGCTGATCGGGAATGAGCAAGATGGGCCAGACATGCTCTGGAGTCCTCCCGCGGTCCCTCCCCGGCTGGCCAACCTCCTGCCTCTCTCCCCAGCCCCAATCATGCACCAGTGGGGTCCCTTGGCCTGGCCTGTGCCCTCTTGCAATCCAGGACCCCTTGGGGGATGTCGGAGAGCTGGTTTCAGCCCGATCCTGCAGGCCAGGCTGAGGGACCCCACTGGTGCATGAATTCATGCACTGGGCCTCTAGTCTATATATATAAAAGGCTAATATGCAAAATGTCCACTTGGGACTTCGACCAGGAGTTCAATCGCTCACTATGATGTGCACTGACCACCAGGGGGCGGCAAAGAACGAAGGATGGCCCCAGCCGGCAGCCAGAAGGCCCCGATTGGCCCTGATCGCCACCCAGGCGCTAGGGACCCTACCAGTACATAAATTTCATGCACTG